AAAAAGTAACGAAAGTACAAGTAAAAGTATGTACTTTTTACTAGTACCGGCGGTACAAGTAACGAAAATAAAAGTACTGCCATGTATGCTGATATGCCAACAAACTTGAAGCATTCTATGATTCTACTTTATGATGGTTAACCATGAAGAAAAGTTTGATACTGTCGTGTATTTAGCCGTTCGAGGCTATGTTTGCGAACTATCGTATCACGCATGCGAATCTTGACTTTCCCTCTCTAAGTTTCAGTTTAAATTCTTCATCCGCTGGTGTTGCGTTAAGACGCATCTCCATCGTATTTTAAATTTCAAATGTTGTAAATCATTAATAAATAGTGATTGTTACATATAAGAGTGCTTATTCCTAAAACCCCACGCTATGAAACAGCACAGATACCCACGAACCCACAATCCATGATGGTTTTTAATTGAAATTCCTGTTGGTTCTCATACCATCGAAGCAATCAGGGTTTTTTCTTTTCTGTTGGACCATCCTAAATCAGTCCGAATTCCTACACTGGTTTACTTATGTTGGTTACCATCAAAAAATATAATGGTTCATGAGGGAATTACTGATGGTTACCATCAAGATTATGTTGGTTATGGCAATGGAAAATCATCAAAATGTTTGATTAAAACTTTGATCAAAATTTTTGAATCAAGATTATGGTTATGGAAAACCATCAAAATGTTTGACTTGGATTACCTTCAAAAACATTGATATTTTGTTATGATATGGGTTTCCATCATGTTAAACTTCCCTCTGAATGCATTTAATAATTTTGTTGATAGGTCCGTGGAGTGATCGGTACAGTCGAAAGTATCCCATACTGATAGCGAGTGCGGGTGTATTCTTGGACAGTTTCTTGCAGACGGTGATAACATCGGTACCGAATGCCCCTCCCTCCTGGTACCTGGCAAGTGCATCCCTCTCCGGATGTTGCGGAGGATTCATCATCATCATCTCATCCACTTACAGCTACCTCTCAGATGTCACAGACGAAAGGTTTATCTTTTCGAGCTATATTAACTTTCAACTATTATGTTAAATGAAGTCAATAAAAGTTTGTATTCCACGCGTACAGTCCCCTGCATAAATTATTAAACGCACTCTACGTAAAATCTTAATCATACAGGTGATACTAGCTTTATCGTTTTTACGAACTTATTTTTGTTCGAGTCTCAATGGGCTAAATTAGGTTATATATAATATAAATTCGATACATTAGACGATATGAATATGAAATATTTGTTACATCAGGTATTATAATAATTAGATATTATGAGATATAATAATAAAAAAAATGTACATAATAATAATTATAAAAGTATCTATATTATATAAAACGCTAATAAGAGCCTCCTAGTATATAATAATTAGACCCACTGAAGTTCTTTTAATAATGACATAATTTGCACGAGTTTATAGGCAATACTTTTATATGCGCATAATGGGTTTTTATTCAGGAGATTTTTCTATACACTTTTTATTTTGCCTTACAATGTTAACCCACTGATGCACGAACGGTCTCATAAAGACAGTATCACCTCTGATAATGAAGATTTTACATATAATCTTAAGAGTGCGTGTCTCATCACTGCAGCTGAATCAAATTTTGATAAAAGAGGAACTCATTTCCAGAAATGATTTCATTTCACTTTGGGCACGAGTTTCTACAGTGAGCTAAACTTTTGAGAGTCAAATGCTGAATTTTGTCTTTGCTTTTGATTTACAGCAAAATTTAATTTGTAACAAAATTAAGGATCAGTCAATTCGGCATCGACTTGTTTCAGCGGTTGGGTCGGAATCTGTAATGAGCAAATTTTTGCCATTTTTTAAAAATTTTCATGATAGAATCTCAATGACCCTAAAAATATTTATATATCACAAGAAGAAGTTTCTTAGATGAAAAGGTCAGCATTATTGCCCTACTTAACAGACGACGTCCGATAAGTTACAGGAAATGTTTCAAATTTTCTTACAGAATGGTATTTCCAAGAACACTTCAGAAAACAATCTTTTCATCGGACTTTTTATGACGCGATTTCTCAAAATAATGGAATCTTTCTTCAGCAGAGAATCAATATTAAAATGAGATATTCTATGTAGCATGTATTAAGTTTTAACTCAAAGTATGTTATTAGTAAAACTTCTAACACTAAGAGACTGCCGAATCCAGTTCGGGCAACGTCTTTGTGATGACTTCGGGCTGGAGAACGTGTGAAGCTGAGTTCGTTTCTACTTCTTAATGGACTATTTTCTTAATAGATGGCATGAGAGGTCTTCCACCGACTTCAGTCGAGGGAGGGAAAATGCGGGTTTCGGGATGTAAAATGTCATAGTGTTGTGTTTTTATATTTAACACTTCTTGTTTCATTTGCTCTCATTGAGTAAGACCCGTTACTTTATTATGTGTATGTAAAAATTATAAATACGGTAGTTATTGCGTTTAAAATTTCATTTCTGTCATAAAACAAAAAAAACCTTTTCAAACTTTTATAATAATATGAAGAAAAAAATGAAACAGTCAAAAAAATGTTTCATTTTCCAGAAATATATGTTAACAGACTGTATTGTCCAAAAGCAGTCTAAATGACTTGATTGTGAAAGAACTATTGCATAAAGAAATTTGTTTAAAATTCATTTTTAATATTTTTGATATTATTTTTAGATAGTTATTAGTAAGCACTAAAAAAATTTATATGTTGTACAAAGAGTCGCAAAATCTTAAGAAATTGTGTCATTATTGTTTTTCCAATTGAAATTAAAATGACATGTTGATATGAACTGTTTAAATGAATTCCAGATCCCGTCAAACCCGTTACGCAGTCCTGGAATTCTTTACGATCATGGCCACCCCGACTGGTTCTTTCGTGGGTGGTCAAGTGTTCCGGGCGGGTGGTTACCTTCCCGTCATGTGCATCGGTCCCTTCAGTTTTGCACTGGCCTTCCTCTGGATGAAGTTCTATGTTCTGGAGACTAAAGTGAGGGACATGAGTAAAGGGATGATGTTCAGGGATCTCTTCAGATTGGACAATGTGAAGGAGAGTTTCAAGACGTGTGCCAAACCGAGGACAGGAAACCTCAGGCTGCAAATCTTCTCCCTTCTCTTCATCAGTTTCTCTATACGTCTCATACATCTAGGTATACCTTCTACCCTTCTTTCCCCCCTATATACGGCCACATTATTGGACTATGTAGAATCAGGTGATACGCTGTACAGCTTTAGTGCTTTGACGCGATTGTTTACATCCGTGTATCAATTTATTAAAATTTGCAGGGCTCGAGAAAACTGAGAAATTTTACCCGTCCCAGAGGACGGCTTGTCCAACAATGTACCCGTCCTCCTTTGAAACTAACCCGCAGCTTCTAAATAAAAACATAATTTTCTCTTATTTATTACAAACATTTATATAAATTGCACAATGAATTAGTAGTTACTAGGATTACAAATACTAGAATTACAAATACTAGAATTACAATGTAAAG